ATTTACAGCTAAAAACCGACAAATCCAATGAGCAAAGGATATGGAAAAAGATTACAAAGGCACTATGTGTTTTTGGTAGTGCGTTTTTTTCAAACTTGGATTTTGACGATGTGAAACCGCGCTTTTTTGCATATTTCCTCCGCATTTTGATCAATTTTGCGTCAGCTACAGAGGAGTCGAACAAAGTAAGCGAGTTCTTTTGTACTAAATATTCTTCTTTGAAACAGGATTGTTCTGGTGCTAGAGCATCAGACCGTGAAGATGATTTCAAAGTTACCTCAGACTTCTTTCAAGGGGAAATTTACTTAGTGATATATACATATATTTTTTTCTGTTATTTCTAATTTTTCAAAAAAGTTAATCAGAAAGACTCTTCGTACAGTTCACTCTTTGTGATGTACTAAATTAGTCGGAACTGAACTAGCGAACTTAATAGCAAGCGTCTGATAATAGGACCCGAAGGCTTTCTCTGCTGGAGGTTGCTTAGATGATAAATTTAATCGAAGAAGAAGCATAAGAAGATGGGAGTTGGTGTTCGACGATGACTTAGCAGCAGAAATAACAATGTAAGCACGATAGGCGTTGTCAAACTCCAAGTGGTCTGGATAAGCATGTAAATGATGAGCGAGGGGGGCAAGACTGTATTTTAAAAATCGTTAAAAGTTTTTTTTTTACTAAAGGAAAGATTAAAAGAATCGTTGGTGGAAGTGTTGAAAAAATTGTGCGATAACAGCGAGTTTTGGAATTCGGGAAGTCGGATAAAGCGATTTAATGGAACGTGCCAAAGTATATGTGGTCGAAGTGCTCTGGGGGCGCTGAACCAGTTGCTGAATGTTTTAGATCGTTCGTGAAAGATTATATACTGTGTAATCGTATTTCAACATGACTGCTGTTCCGGACTTTGCCCGTACATTTTCCATCCTGAGAGTGAAATGAGCACGATCCAGTAAACAAAGTTGAAGGCGAGGAACTGAAAAAAAAAAGAACAGCGAAATCATCCTTAAAAACCGAGCAAACTTTTTTAAGAAGCTCTTATAGCTTGTCTTTTCTGAAGCCGCATTAGCCACAAACGAAGGAGGGGTTAGTATGATTGTTAACGACTTAACATTTGGAAAGCATGACCTCTAAAATAAATAATTTAGATTTAGTAAAAAGAGAGGCTCGTGAGAAATGAATATGTGCAGCACCTTTATTAGGCTTTGTTTCTGCTTATTTGTTTTTGTTGTTGTTGAATGCACACTTTATTGTTTTCTAAATAAAATTTGATTGTTTTTGCATTTTTCAAGCAACTAGCACATCTTGATTTTCAATTATTGATTCGAATGATAACATACCGATATCGGGAACACAATGCGAGCAATAAGGTCAATTCGATTGTGTCTACAACAGGTTCTGTGTGAACGGGGTCGCATCGCTATAGCCAGAATCGAAACATCCTGCTCACAAGTACATTCGTCGATACGTGCATCTGAAAAAGTGGATTTTGCTGCGGGAATAAGCGAAGCAAATGACTAATAGTGTTTGCAACGGAGAATTTGTGGATAAAAGAGGAGTAAAAGCAATAGATGCTAAACCACCCAGTTGAAGTATTCAGTTTGCAGTATCTAGGTTTGAAAATCATTCCATTTTCAATCTTTTCCAGCCTTCCGGATGGGCAAGTTTGGAGGAGACGAATTGTACGACCTCGGAGCAAGTCTGGCGTTTCCAGCTGCAGCTTTGGCTCGAAAACGCTCTTCCTTTTGAATTTCTTTCTATCGTCGTACTTCTTGTTGGAATATGCGACGACGGCATATTCAATAAGTGCCAGCACCACAATCAAATAGCAGAAGCCGAGATAAACATCCACCGCCTGAGAATGGTCCAGCAAATTAAAATCTATGTGCAAGTATACGTTACTAAAAGGTAATGAAATGTGTTTCAGGTTTAAATGAGCACGCGGATGGCAGTTAATAAGGAAAGCGGACTGGAAGTATTCGGCAATGCTAGTTATGCATTTTTCCACATGCAAATGCAAAAATGCATATTGTAACGAACTCGGTGTGCGTGTTTGTGCGTGTGTGTGTGTGTGTGTATGTGTGTGTGTGTTTGTCGGGTATTTTAACTTGGCAGCCAAGCAAGTTCTGGCGCCAAAATTTGCCAATGGGTTCCCTAGCCAAGTGCCGACCTAGGGCCGCGGCGCCAACCATCACGCACGTCTAGGCCCTGCGTACGAGCGCGTGAAAATTCTGACGGGAAAATCGCCAGCTTGAGAACTAGAAATGCTAGAAAGTTGGAATTTTGAGGTATGTTCCTCGTCCACATAGAACTCTAAGATTTCAAATTCAGTCCCAAGGTGTGTGTGGTTCTCTTGTACACCCCCGTGAAAATTTTTGGAGGTAAAATCGCTAACTCGGGAACCGGAAGAGCTGGGAGGCTGAAATTTTGAGGAGATTTCTTCTGTCCGAGCATCCCGTAGTTGTACAATTAATTTCTCGAACTACGAGAGTTAATGCGTCACAAATTCCAGCTACTGGATTTCCAAACGAAAATACTATAGCACGAAATACTGCAAAAACGCATGATCGCACGAACGCCTGGTGCGCGCATCGCCAATAATTTGACTGAGTTGTTGCCAGACTCAGTGATGTGGTACTTAAACTAAGCCAGCGAGGCACTAAATGTTTCGGGCGTCGAAAAGTTTATTTTGGAAATTTAATGACTGGCTGATGATGCCATTCGCAGCGGAGCAGTAATGAAATCAGATAATTGGCCAACGTACGGGCTGCCCGTGCGAAGATGCGTTTTTTGCATGGTTCCCCGCAGTTTTTGTTGCTACCGGCACCACGAGCTGCCCGTGCGAAGATGCGTTTTTTGCATGGTTCCCCGCAGTTTTTGTTGCTACCGGCACCGGTTGGGCAAATGCTTCTAACTAAACAAACTAAGACTGGGCGCCAGAACTTTCAGGAAACATCCCCCAAAAATTTCAGCTTTCTAGCTTCCGTGGCCCCTGAATTATCAACTTACTGGGAAAAATTTTCACGGGCCCGCGCATGTTTGCCAAGTATACCTGAGAGCTGGGTTCGAGCTGAATGGAACTTAGGTGGACGGTATGCTCTTAAAAATACATTCCTTTAGCTTCTCAGATCCCCGAGTTATGAAGTTACCCGAAGAAAATTTGGCGAACTCGTACGCGGGTACCACGCTTACCCGGGGGCTGGGTTTGAGCTCACTAATACCCGCTTGGGCGATGAACATTAATCCAAGATTTCAGCATTCTAGCTTCTCAGATTCTCGAGTTATGAAGTGACCCCAAAAAAACTTTGGCGGGCCCGTACACGGATACCATGCGGGTTTTGGCGCCCATTTTGGGGGGTGGGAGCGGCAGGTGCATGTAGATTAAGTTCTCGAGATTTCAACCCGGCAGCTTTTATAGGTTCTGAGATGAAAATGCGTGACAGACGCACACACAGACAATATGCTTTCTTCGCATTGCATTGCTGCAAAAAACGCATAAAAAGCTTTAAATGAAGCATTAGGGAGCTGAGTTCGTGGTCACCACATTGACTGGGTTTCCTGTGCATTTCGTTTTGATAAAGGCAGTTAAATACGTTTCTTTGCATTCATCACGCTGAAAGCTATTTCGTGAATGGGGGCAAAAAATATTAATTGCAACCTAATGCTACTTTCTCAAATTTTAATAAAACACGTCTTTAGCCCATTAAAATACGCCCCCAAACATCTTACAGTGCTTTGCATTCATTATGCTGAAGACTATTTTGTGAATGAAAATAAACCCAGGCTGGAACGCACCAGGCGAGCCGGTGCGATCATGCGTTTTTGCACCAGACTTG